GCAACTAGAAGAATGTGCAGCTATGACATACAACTATCTACTGGGGTTTTGGGGGGAAAAAAATAAATAAAATCTTTAAAAAAAAAAAAAAAAAAGCTTAACCCCTGAAATACATAGGTATGGTGGTGGTGGAGCATGATGGTGACTCATAGAAGGTAAGCCCAACATCTAAGGCTTTTCATTCTCCACCTCTGCTCCCACCCCTCGCCGTCTTGAGCAATGTGGACTCGAACCTACGACCTTGGAGCTTTCCCGCCTACACCCACCGCGAGACCTCGCTCCCCGGACACGCCTCCCTTAGCCCCGCCCCGGGCCGCGCCTCCCATTGGCCCCGCCTCCTAGGCCCCGCTCCACTCGCAGTTCCTGGTTTGCACTTTGCTCCGCCCACAGCTCCGCAGGCCCTCTAAGGCGCGAGGACCCTCGTGGGGCTGCCCCTAGTACTGCCTGAAGAGCGAGTCCCCCATCCTGGAGGATACAGTCCGGCCTGAGTCCATCACGCGGGCCACGTTTGCGGGCGGAGGAGAGGTTACGAGGCGTCGAGGTCCCCGCGGGATGGGGCGGCGGGATGTCTTCCTGTCTCCCGGCTCAGGCGCGGACGGGGCAGCCCGGCGCGCGCCGCGGGCGAGGAAGGCCCCCGACGCAGGCCCCGGATATTTGTGTCAGCGCCGTCGCCGCCGCCGTCCCAGCCGATGGGTCGGGGTACACGCTCCCGCTCGCGGTCGGCGGGTCGCAGGGGCCGAAGGCAGCGGAGCCGGAGCGGAAGTCGGAGTCGAAGCCGAAGCAGGAGCCATGGGCAGCGAAACCGGCGGCGCCGGGACGACGAGGGGCGGCGCAGGCGGCGGAGCCGGGAGCGCAGGTGGGGTCGCGGCGTGAGCGGCGCTGGGGATCCGGCTCCGGCCAGAGGGGAGCTGAGAGACCCCCGAGTTAGGCAGGGAGGCCTTCCTGGACAAGGGGACGTCAGGCAGCGAGAGAGGTTCCAGGCAGGGCACCTGGTGGTTGGAGGGACAGCGAGGGGAGTAGGAGGTGAGATCGGAGAGGTACTGGGAGAGCAGATCGTGCTGAAGGGTTTGGCGATTATTCGGAGGGAACTAGGGAGCCATGGAGGATCTTGAGCAAGGGTGTGACCCGGTGTGCCTTACTCTGCAGAACTGTCTCTGGCTTTCGCGTGGAGAAGGCGCTGAGGGGGTGCAGGAGTGACACCAGGGAGGAGGAGGGTGGTACAGCTGTCTAGGCAGCAGATGATGGTCGCCTTCACGAGAGGGAGGCTCTGGGGAGGCACGATGGGAAAGTGGGTAGATTCGAGAGGGATTTCGGAAGTAGAGGTGACAACACTTGCTCGTGGAGGTGGGATGTGAGAGGGAAGAACTGATGATGACAGGTGGCGGGACTTGGTTGACTCCTGGGACCTGGGTCTCAGCGTCCCCGCGGCCCACAGTCCTTTTCTTCTGGAGATGGGGCACCTGGCCAGACTTGGCTTGAGTCTTCTCCAGCACAAAGGAACCAGCACAGTGATGGGGACTGACTCCCAGACCCGGGTCCCCGTGCTGGCTCAGCCCCTAACTGGCTGTAACACCATGTGTGTCCCCAAGATCTCCGAGGGGCTGCCCCGGCGCACATTGTCTCCCATCCCTCCAGCCTGTTCTCCACACCAGGGCCAGAGCGGCTGTAGTCAGACATAGCCGATCGCCCTCCAGGTTTGAGAAGCTGGCTTTTCCTTTTAAGTCTCCTAAAATCACTGCCACCCGGGAATTCCAAGAAGTTATAAGCAACAGACTGGAAATAATGAAGAGATGGTTTAAACCGGGGCTTGGCAAACTACAGCCTGTGAACCAAGAATAGTTTTTACATTTTTACACGGTGAGGAAAAAAATCGAAACAAAAAGAGTATTTTGTGATACAAAATTATAAGAAATTCTAATTTTGGCATCCAGAAATAAAATTTTATTGGAACGCAGCCATGCCTGTTTGTTGGCGTACTGGCCGTGGCCACTTTTGCGCTACGACAGCAGAATTGAGTGATTGTGTCATAGATAGTCTGCCCCTTTATGGATAAAGTTTGCCGACTCTGGTTTAAGCCCCTGGTGTTGATGTTTTAGTACTGGTTCACGTGTAGCATAAGTCTCGTTATTATCATCTTTGCATTTTTTTCATCTACTGTTTTCTAGTATTTGAATTATTCACAAGAATCAGCCACCCTCAATATGTAATTAGAGTTGATGTCGTTATTATGAAAATTTGATCAAATTTGTAGCCTGTATTTAAGGGACTCCAAAATAATTGGTATTCATAGTGTAGATTTTTTGACATGAGCTTAGTGGGTGGAACATTTCACAAAATAAAGACAGATTTTGGTTGTTCTTCTCCCCCCAACATTAAAGAATATATTTCCAGGGCTCGCACATTCCGTCCCCTGCTCCCAATGCCCTTCCCTAGCTCTTTATTCCTGCCAGTCTTACTCCAGTCCATTCCTGCCCGTCCTGTAGGACCATCTAAGCACCACCTTCTGTAAGCCCTCCTTTGATACCTTGGACAGATGAGGTCGTCTGGTTCATAGGATTATAGCAACATCCGACCCCAGCCTCCTCCCTGCCCTCCCTCCTGCTCTCCCCCTCGCTCTCTGCTCTAGGCACTCAGGCCTCCGCTTCTTGAACACACCAAGTAAACTCCTGCCCCAGGGCCTTTGCTTTTGCTGTGCCCTCTGCCTGGGTCGCTCTCCCCCCAGATCTCGCCGTAGCTGCCTCCCCCACGTCCTCCAGTTACCTCTTCAGAGAGCCCCTCTCTGACCTCTCCACCCCCTAACGCCACGTCACTGTTCTTTGCGGCTCACGGCGTCATCTCGTGTCCCACTGTGTGTATCCTTGCTGATGTGAGCCCCGCGAAGGCAGGGACTGTCAATGTTTTGGTCCCTGCTGTGTCCCCAGAACCTCGACCAGTGCCTGGACACAGCAGGCACTCCGTGAGCATCTGTGCAGCAGCTGACGGGGCGGAGGCAGCTAGCAGCCCTTTGCGGACTCCCCCTGCAGGTCGGATTCGGAGGAGGAACGGTGGCAGCGGCGCGGGAGGCCGAGCCGGAGCCCGGCGCCGCGCCGGAGGCGCTCCCAGGACCGGTCCTCTCAGTCCGACTCGGGCGATGAGCGGCGGCAGCAGCGGGGCGGATGGGCGCCGCGCCGGCGGACGCGCTCCTGGTCCCCGGGCTCCTCGGCGTCCAGCTCGGCGTCCCCAGCGCGCTCCCGGAGCCCCGGGGCGGCGGCCGCGGCCCTGAGCCAGCAGCAGAGCCTGCAGGAGCGGCTGCGGCTGCGCGAGGAGCGGAAGCAGCAGGAGGAGCTGCGGAAGGCCTTCGAGACGCCCGAGGAGAAGCGCGCGCGGCGGCTGGCCAAGAAGGAGGCCAAGGAGAGGAAGAAGCGGGAGAAGATGGGCTGGGGCGAGGAGTACATGGGCTACACCAACACCGACAACCCCTTCGGCGACAACAACCTCCTGGGCACCTTCATCTGGAGCAAGGTGAGCGCGGCCGGGCCCGCCGCCTCTCGTGGCTTCCGCGCCGCTGCTGCTCCCGGAGGCGGTGCAGCGCTCGGGGCGCGCGCTCCCGGCGTGCGCTTGCCGCCAGGGGCTGACCTGACGCACACGCGCACGCACGCTGGCTTCGCCCGCTTCGCTGCCCTCGCTGTCCCTCGCAGTGTAAACCTCCAGGCTCTCTGCTCAGAACCCAGCCTAAGTTCAGGCGTGACTGCAGAGCAGGGTGCTAGCGTCACGTCCCGGGATGGGATTCCCCGGTGATCCAGGCCCGGGCACCTCAGAGCTGTCCCCACAGCTCGGGGTGAAAGGCACACACCGGTCCCTCACCCGCCAGCCAGGCCTTGGGCACGTGGTGTGCAACTACAGACTTTCTCGCACGTTCTGGAGGCCAGAAGTCCCCAGTCCAGGTGTGGGCAGGGCAGTGCTCTCTCCAGAGGCTCTCGGGGAGGGTCCTGTCTTGCCTCTTCTAGCTTCTGGTGGCTGCTGGCAGCCCTCGGCTCACAGCGCATCACGCCCATCTGTTGTCACGTGACCTTCTCTCTGCGTCTCTGTGTCTGAATTCCCCTCTTCTTACAAGGACACCAGTCAGTGGATTAAGGCCCAGTCTGCTCCAGTGTGACCTCATCTTAACTCATTTCATCTGCAGGGAGCCTTTTTCCAAATAAGGTCACGTTCAGAGGTTGCAGGGGTTGGGCCGTGGACGTATCCTTTTCGAGGACACAGTTCACCCGGCACAGCGCCTGTTGGTGGTGGGGGAGGGTGAGAGCAGGTGGGCACAGTTGGAAGCCTCGGCGTCTCCCACTAGTCGCACGCAGTCTAGGCACAGTTTCTTCTGTTGTCTTGAACACACTGAGCCATTCCACCCCAGGGCCTTTGCACTCACCGTTCCTCTGCCTGGAACACTCTCCACCTCTTCCCATGAGTACTTCTTTGTCATTCTTTAGATCTTGGCTGACATGTTCCCTCTGAGACCCCTCCTGGCCCCCCGGGTCCCCCAGGTCCCCCAGTATTCTTTATCCGGGCCCTGCCTCTCCCTTCCTGGCACTTTTCTGACAAACGTGTGTCATGCGCCCACTGGGTGCTGGATACCGTGTGGGCCCTGGGCATGCATCCGTGAGGAGAGAGACAGAGACCCCCGTCCTCGGGGGGCAGCAGTGGGCGAGACGGACTGTGAAAAAGCGGATCAGCCTGGGTGGGCATAGGAGAGAATGCAGGTGGGCATCGGGGAGCGGCCCGGCTGCAGCGTGAAAGGAGCAGGTCCAGAAGGGTCGAGTCACAAAGGTGCCGTCTAGACACCACGTCCTAATTCCTAACGTGTGGCCCCTGACGGCCGGTGAGCTCCCGGGGCAGCTCTGTCCCCAGGCCTGCACACGGTGGGTGCTTGGTAAATGGAGGAGCGAGCTTCCGCAGTTTGGTGTGGTCGGCACGTGCGCCTGTGCAGGCGTGTCCCCCCGGCCTCGGGGAGTCACCCCACGGGAGGCTTCACGGGCCCCTCCTGTGATCGGCTCGCGGGCCGTGGCCCCGGCCCAGCCTCTGCTGTCTCTAGGCCGGGCAGGGCGCTAGATGGGCTCACGGTTTGGGGGGCGTCCTCTGGGCCGCTGGGGTGGCCCCGAGCCAGGTGGCCCCATGTCCCCTGGAGGCAGGCTTTTCCAGGTATGGGGGGGTCCTTGAACACCCCTCGGAGCCGGGAGAGGTGACCATGGGGAAGTGCGTGGCTCAGCGCCGTGCTTGGGCAACGACTGTGAGGTGAGACTGGGGGTGCGAGGGTCTCCAAGCCCCCGTGCCACAGCCCCCTTGTTGGCTGAGGGCACAACCGGGAAGAACCACTGTCTGCAGTCCTGGCGCCCCAAGTGTGGGAGCCGTCCCCCCAGTCGCAGGGACCCCAGCAGTGTGCTTTCAGGGCTTGCTCCGTCTCTGCTCCTGCCCCCCCACGCAGCCGCCGAGGGCTCGCGCCCAGAGCCGGGCCACAGGCCTCACTAGGCCCCGAGGGGCCTCTCCGTGCCCTGCGGGGCGGGGCGGCCGCCTCCCGTCACTCAGGTGGGGGCGCTCCGGGATGTTGATGGCCCCGGGGTGACTCCGCAGTGTTGAGGGGCACGTCTTAATGGCAGTCGGGGAGGTGTGGCGGGGGCCGTCACCTCCCTGAGCCCCTCTCCTTGGCTGGAAGGCCCAGTCCGTCTCCTGGAGGAGTGTGTGGGAGGCTCCCTGCGGGGTGGCGATGGAGCTGTGTGGTCGCCCTTCCAGGCCCTGGAGAAGAAGGGGATCAGCCACCTGGAGGAGAAGGAGCTGAAGGAGCGGAACAAGCGGATCCAGGAGGACAATCGGCTGGAGCTGCAGAAGGTGGGCTGCCCTCGGCCTGCCCGCACGGGGTCAGGCGGCCTGTCCTCGTGGGGGCTGGAAGGCCGGCTCACCCTGGCCTAACTCAAGCCAGACCTAATTGTCTTATGTGGAAAGTTGGGGGAGGCTGGCTTCAGGCACGGTTGGATCCAGGGCTCAGGCAGTGACTCCAGCGAGCTGTTTCCCTCCGCCTCAGCTGTGCTGGCCTCTGGGCTTTACTCTCAGACGCTCCCGTCACGGTGGCAGAAATGGCCCGGCCGCTCCGGGCTGCTGTGTCTCCAGCAGAAAGAGGGCCCCTCCTGCCCCAGGGTCTGTCCCAAGCCTCAGGCCTCTCTGGCCCGATCCCTGTGTGCAGGGTCAGCAGGCTGAGGCCAGGTCTGGGTTACAGTCCCACCCCTGACCCCGGGGGAGCCCACGGCCTGAGAGGGTACAGGGCAGGCCCCACGAGAGCCCTGTCGTCCGGCTGTCCCGCTCACCGTGCCCGTGCGCCCCCAGGTGAAGCAGCTACGGCTGGAGCGGGAGCGGGAGAAGGCCATGCGTGAGCAGGAGCTGGAGATGCTGCAGCGGGAGAAGGAGGCGGAGCACTTCAAGACGTGGGAGGAGCAGGAGGACAACTTCCACCTGCAGCAGGCCAAGCTGCGGTGCGTGCGGAGATGGGCCTGGGCGGCGCTGCCCTCCTCCCTCCCCGCTCCGGCCCCCGCCGCCTCTGGACCCCAACACCAGAGCCCGGGTCTGCCCCAGGGCCTTTGTACCTGCTGTTCACCGCCTCACCTGTTGCCTCCCTGGGGGCCCTCCCTGACCCCGTTCCTGGCGCCTGCCCCTGCTCCGTGTGCACACTGCTCCCTGTTGCTTCCTTCCTCGCATCTGTCGCTGGCTGGCCTCCCGTCTCCCCCATGGGGCTGGTACCCAGGAGACGTCTGAATGTGCCGCGGTCCACGGAGCAGAGCCAAGTCGAGGGTGCTGGGCCCCAGGCCGGCACCGGCTGTGTTCGTCCCTCTCCACCCCCGGCCCACAGTGGGGTTCGCTCATCAGCCCCATTTACAGTGAGGCTCCTAGGGGTCGTGAGTTGCCCGGACGCCACATGGCGGTGTTTGAGCCCCAAGCCCTGCATGTGCACCAGGAGCCCACCCCTGCCCCCCGTCGTCGTGCTGCCCGCTGGGCCCCCCTCCGGCTCCTAGGGCTCCGGCCTTGTCACGGGCTCGCTCGGGTCAGGCCAGGGTCAGCCCCTGATGCACATCCCCTGGGCACAGCACTGAGGGTTCTGGATCTTCTGCCCGGGCGGCCTGTCCAGCCCATCCAGCGGGAGGAAGGGGTCCTCTCTGCCCCTCCGGCTCCCCTCCCACCCACTGCTCTACAGACCCCACACTCGCTCCCATCTCTGCCCCTTTCTGGCCTGTGCCTTCCCTCTGACCCATCTGATCCTCTGCCTGATGCCACCTCTTCCAGGAAGACTTCCCTGACCCCCACGATGGCCAGGCTCCTCCCCGCTCCCACAGCGGTTGCCCCCTGAGGGCAGGGTCTGCGGGAGGGAGGGCACCCCCGCCTCTGACACCACCCCGCCCCCCGCAGCTCCAAGATCCGCATCCGGGACGGGCGGGCCAAGCCCATCGACCTGCTGGCCAAGTACATCAGCGCCGAGGACGACGACCTGGCTGTGGAGATGCATGAGCCCTACACCTTTCTCAACGGGCTCACGGTGGCCGACATGGAGGACCTGCTGGAGGACATCCAGGTGCCGCCCGCGCCCCGCCCCGGCCCCCGCCGCCTCACCCCTGCCCCTGCGCCCCCACCGCCTCTCCCCCGCGCCCCGGCCCCTTGCACGCCCCTCCCGCCTGCTGCCTCACCCCTGCGCCTTGTGCCAGGTGTACATGGAGCTCGAGCAGGGCAAGAATGCGGACTTCTGGCGAGACATGACCATCATCACCGAGGATGAGATTGCCAAGCTGCGGAAGCTGGAGGCCTCGGGCAAGGGGCCAGGTAACGCGGGGCCCGCGGCACACCCCCCGGGCTGGCGGGCCAGAGGGACGTGGGCGTGCTCCTGGGGACACATCAGGGTCTGCTGGGAGCCGCCACGGGCCCGGTGGTTCCACAGGAAGCCTCAGGTTCCCTGTGGGGCCGGTCCCCGTGCAGGCCTCAGTTTCCCCATCCCGGCCTCTGAGCCACCAGGGGGCAGCGTGGGCACGGGAGCCGCAGGACCGGGGAGGGGCGGCAGAGCGCCCCAGTGCACCCCCAGCTTCCGCCAGTGATCGCTGAGCGCGTGGCTTGGCTTCCGCGGGAGCAGAGCCAGCGGGGCTTCTCGTCCGGGTTTCAGGTTGTCACCGGAGGCTCCGTCTGTTTGAGGGAGAGCAGGAGGCGGCCCCGCTTGGCTGGGAGCCACGCAGCCTCCATCTGTGCGTCCCTGGGTCCTCTGTCAGTGAACTTGTCATCACGGTGACGGCGTGCTTGTCATCACGAGGGCAATGGGCTCTAAATCGGGATTTCTCGTGCTCGGCACTGCGGCCCTGGGGCCAGGTCGTTCTCTGTGGGGCCGTCCCCGGCACTGTGGGGGTGGAGCAGCGTTCACTGGATGCCAGGAGCGCCCCCAGTGTGACAGCCACAGATGTCCCCGGACATCGCCCGGTGTCCCCTGGGGGCAGTTCCCCCCGGGTGGGAACCACTGTTGCATAACCACAGCAGGCCCGCCCCTGCAGCTGCAGCCTTGACAGCGTCCAGCTCCCAGGGCCCCGGGTCCCTGTCCCTGTCGCTGAGCTCTGTCCTTCATTGCCCTCTCAGCGTCACTGCGGGCTGCGTGCGTGGCCGAGGACACGCGTCCTCCCCTCCCCGAGCGTGTGGACATGCCATCGTCCGCTGCTCAGACCGGGGCCGGGACGGCTTCCTTCCTCCCAGGGAGGGAGGTGTCTTTTCTTCGTAAGATGGACTTTGTTTCTCGTGTCCCCTTAGCAGGGCGCATCCTGCAGTAACTTCCAGGGAAGGGGAGGGGGACTCTTGGCCATCAGAAACGTGCGTGAGGACACGGCTCCTTGGGAGGCCACGGGGCTGGGTGTGGAGCTCTGGGGACGGCGTTTTCCATGGGAAGCGGACGACCCCGCCCCACCAGCTGTGGGAGAGTCTGAAGGGACATTCCACCGGGTCCCGCCGCTTCCAGAGTCCCCCGGGCACCCAGGCCACGCTCCTCTCTTTTGGCCGTTTCTCCCCCTTCTCTTTCCGCCACGTCAGTCACTTCCCTGTCTAGTTTCCCTTCTGGGGTCCCTGGTGGCTCCAGGTGTCCTCAGATTGCTAAGAGAAGAAGGTTCGAGTCCACCTGGGGCCCCACAGAGGGCGGGCCTTTGTCTTTTCAAATTAAGTTGGGCTTTTTCTTTTGTTTTTGTAACTGGGAACCCGTACCGTAGGGTGTGCAGCAGACAGTGGGTCCCCGGACGCCCCTGTTCCCCCCGCAGCGATCCCCCCATTGGGCTCAGCAGTCCCCGTGGGCCTCCCCCATCCCCACACTGCTGCCTCCTCTCCTGACACTGTCCCGGAGTGCTCCAGTTGGATCCTGCTGGGCTCTGTGGGGGCCGTCCGGGCTGCGTCCAGACCTGGGACCTGGCTGCCTTTGGACAATGGCTTGGCTTCTGTGGGAGCGGCATCCGGAGGGGCTGTCTGACTGGGGTTCAGTTTTCACAGTGGCTCCGTCTTTCTGTCTGAGCGAGCGCAGGACGCGGCCCTGCTCGGCCAGGTGTGGAGCTGTCGCCGAATTCGCTTGTGGTCCCACGCTCTCTCTGCACCTGTTACAGACGGAGGCCGGGCCGCCAGCCTGGTGGGGCTGCGTTGGGCCCAGCACGGGCCTGAGTCTCTAGATGCTGGTTCCAGGGCCCCGGCTTAGCCCGCTGCAGGGACTCGGGCCCCCCTCGGCCCTGTCTGATCGGCTGTGACCCTTCGTCCACTGGTAGGGTTGTCAAAGCCTGCTTTTGAGCAGGGAGCATGAGCTGGGTGCCCATCCCCACGTCCACCCAGCAGCTGGGGCCTGAGCTCCCCATGGCCCAGCATGGTCCTGGGGAGCAGCAGCTAGAAGCCCAAGGAGGTCCCGCCCTCAGGAAGCCATGAATCAGGCGTCCAGGCCGAGGGGGCAATCTGGTGGTCAGGGAGGGCTTCCCAGGAGAAGGGATGTTCTTGCTGAGCGCTGAGGGCGGGTGGGATCTAGGAGATGGACTGGGCGGGGAAGAACATGTTGCTGGAAAGCGCCGCATGTGTAAAGGCCCTGGGGCGGGGCGCGGGGCATGCTCGGCGCCTGATGAGCAACAGGGAGGCTGGTGTGCCCGGGCACTAGGGTCAGGTCCCCCGCCCTTGCGGGCCTCTCAGTCTGGAGAGAAGGAAGTGTGATAGATAGACACCCCTGCAGGATGCAGGGGGTCTGATTGTCTCGGGGCAGCGTCAGGACTTCCTGCAGCCTGGGAAAGCCTCCGTGCTGTGGTGAGGCGCGTCCTCCATGCCAGGCATAGCCGAGTGCTCTTGTGCATGGTCTCGTTGGGCTTCACAGAGGGGGAAACTGAGGCCCAGAGAGGGGGATCCACTTGCCCAAGGCCACACAGCTGGGGCCGGCAGAGCAGGATCTGAATCCTGGAGATTGTGGCTGCCGGTGAACCCTCCTGGCTCCTCAACATGGTTCAGGGCAGGCGGTGGTGGGTGGGGTGGGCAGGCTGGTCACGCCGGGCCGAGGTGCTCACACTTAACCTGCAGGTCAGACCCACTGCAGAGGGGCTGAGAGATGCCCGCCCGGCCTCCCCCAGGCCCAGGGAGTCAGATCTGTCCTGGCCAGGGTGCACGGCCTGTCGCCAGCTCAGTGCGTGAGAAGGATCTGGCCCAGGAGGGAGGCCGAGCTGGGGGAGGAGAGCCGGTGTGGGCACAGCGGGGGGGCGCGGCCAGCACTGAGCGGCCCCCACCCCCCACCCCACTGCAGGCGAGCGGCGAGAGGGCGTCAACGCCTCGGTCAGCTCCGATGTGCAGTCAGTCTTCAAGGGCAAGACCTACAGCCAGCTACAGTTCATCTTCCAGGGCATCGAGGGCAAGATCCAGGCCGGGGGCCCCAACCTGGACATGGGCTACTGGGAGAGCCTGCTGCAGCAGCTCCGCGCCCACATGGCGCGCGCCAGGTCAGCGGGCGGCGGGCCTCGGCCCTCGGGGTCTCACCTCCGTCGGGGTCTCACCCAGGGCACAGGAGCTGTCTCCCCCAGGCCTGCTGGGCCGGGGCGGGGAGCCACAGGCCAGTGCCCCTGCTGGAAGGTCCCCGCCGTGCTCCCGTGCCCCGCACCTGGAGTCAGGGCCCTGGGGGCCAGGCAGCGCCTCCTGCCTTCCGGCCTGTCCCCAGCACTTGGCCTGTCTCCCCTCAGGCTCAGCGGGCAGCACAGGAAGCCCCCAGGGCCGCCTGTCCCCCGCCGTCCTTCTGCAGGCCCCACACTCTTTGTGTACAAATTCTCAGCGAGCTTGGCCGTGTAAACACGCGCCTGCTGGCCGCTAACTGTGCGGTCGCCTCTAAATTTATCCTCTGCCTCGCCTGCCTGCGGCCTGTTTCCGCCCGGCTGGGCCGTTGCCCGCACGTGGACACCCTGGTACAGGGACTTGCCCCTCTGGCCAAGGGACAGTTCTCGGGGCTCTGAGACCCTGTGCCCCGTTTTCCTCATGGCCCAGACCCTGACCCTGGCCTGGCTGCACCTGGGTAGGGGCCCCAGCCTGGGCGGTGGGCCAAAGGGGG